CCCCAACGTGGTCGGGACGAACGGATGAACGGACGAACGCACACGGCTGACTGCTTGCTCGCTCGTTGCACGAGTTAATTTTTAAATCGCGTTAAAGCGACTGCCGGAATGCGCGTTCCAATCTCGGGAGATGGTATATTAAAAGTTTCCCCGTGACCGCTGAGCGTTTATTAGGAAACGATGGTTCTCCGCAATTTTATATGGTCGGCCGGCCCGTAACGTGGCGTGCGCGAGCACGATGAGATTACGAATTAATCTAAGAATATGCCGCGCGCGCGTCTCGTGAGCGAGAAAATGATATTTTTACTCGCTCTCCTGATGTATTTACCGTTCACGTGTTCGTTGGAATTACCGCCGACGTTTGAATCTCGTTATCTTAGCGGGAGAGGGAGGCGTGAAAGAGAGAAAAGGGGGAAAGAGGTAAGACGCGAGGGAGAAAAAGAGACGAGAAGGGGAGAAGGAGAAATGAAGGTGTCGCACACACGGGTACACGAGTGACCAGTCGCCGCGCGACGTTATGCAACCGCATTCTGAGCGCGGTGCACTCTCGTGTACGTGCACACGAGGACATTACTCCCTGCGACTCGTTCTTGTCGAGTCTCAACGTGGTTTTAGAGGATTCAGCGATAAAGGGGAAAAGAAAAAGTAATACAGAGATAAAAATAATAAAAAGATCGCAACTCCTGATATCGTCGCTTGACAAATATTTTCAACTATATTGATTGAAACAATGCGGTAATCCGCAATAATTGTCGTATATCTCATGGTCTGTTATCACTAGCTTACCGAGTTAGTTATCTGGCTTTACTAAGAATCAGAAAACTCAGCTGAATTGACAGGATAACAAGCACAGAAAGCTGTCTCGGATGGTAATCGCGCGAAATAAACCGATAATTACCGACGATCCTACGTAACTGAATACGTATAATCGTAAAAAAAATCACGGTACGTATTATTATTCTTACGGTACAAGGCCGACTAGTGCACGACAGCGGGACGATTCTCGCACGTACCTGTAACAGACAAAAGAGGCGAAAATTAGTGGGACGCACAGTGAGCGAGACAGAGAGAAAAGAACGAATGAGATAAGAACTGCGAGTCTAACGATTTCCTAAGTAACGAATCGGATAACTCCAGATTTTCTCGAGATAAACGCGGGTCTTTTCCGGCGGTGATCGCGCGAATCCCTCGAACGGCCAAATTTCCAAGAGCGCTCGCTCGTCGTTCGTATCAATCGACGTACGAGCGAAGGGAGCTTTGAGGGTTCAACCGAGCGAGCGAAAACGACGAACGTCCCTGCGAAAGCCGATCGCGATCGGGGAGTAGAAGGGCGAGGAGTCGTCGTCGTCGTCGTCGTCGTCGTCGTCGTCGACGACGACGACGACGACGACGACGACGACGACAATGACGACGAGACACAAAAGAAAAAGAGAGAAAAAGAGAATAGACGTTCGACTTGATCCGCTTACGGCAATGTCGGAAACGTATAGAGTGATCAACCGAATTTTGCGGGATATCCCGATTTTCGGCTCTCTGTAAAGGTGTCTCGAAAGAATCCTAGGCAAGACGCATAATTTGTCGCTGTAATATATTACATAACGATATATTAAAAAATGAAATATTTGTCTGATGAGAAAGAGGTGTATTTCGTGTTAATTTTTCATTGTTTTTATATATGTAATTCATTTAATCCCTATTTCTATTTTAAGAATGAATGTCAAAATACACACACATACATATAGCCAAGAAGGGATATGCGCATATGTTAGTAATAATAACAATGATGATGATGATAATAATGATGCCTTTTTGCACGTCTAATTTAAAAAGGTACTTAAAAGTTACTTTGTAACTTGACATACTAATGACAAAATCCCGATGTTTTCGGTTACGTCCCGATTTGTTAAGTTTTCAATACTCCCAAAATTGACTGATTAATGTCTGGCTTCGACTAAGTTTGAATCCGAGATTAGAATGTCTTCAGACAAAGACTTAAGCTTTAGATTAAGGTTTAATTGACGTCTAAGGACGGGACCGGACCTAAGAGCTTAAGAACTGGTTACCTTAGAATCGTGTCACCAGGATTCCCAGATAGATGAAGAAGAGACAAAGACAAAGATTCCTATCGGCCTTGCACGAGAATCGCGGACACATTCGCGGCGGCGTTTTACGCGCGATCGTGCGCCAGTCGCGAGACGCGCGGACGCTCACGTCCCGGGGGTTCATTAGCATAAATACATAACGTCCACGTAACAACTTCGCCACGGTTCAACATACTCCTCGTATCGTACACGTACGTACGTACGCGGCCGTTAGACTACACGTCGAGAAAGTCCGCCAGCTATAAAATGCAACCGGCAGGAATGCGCGTGGGAATGTGTGTTCGCGCGGGAGAGGAGAACTATGCGTGCGTTCTCGATGAATCGATATTATTAACGGCCTCCTCCTCACCGGGCGGACCGTGCTGCACACGCACACACTTCGTATCACTTCGCGGGCGTAAGGCGTGCTCCTCGTCTGATTAGAAGCACGCAACAACCACTTTCGCAGAAAAGTGTCTGGCGATTATGCCGTTTCTTCTACGTTAAACGCCGTCCGTGTACGCAAAAATACAAAAAGCTCAGCCGGCGGTGCTGTGTGTGCGCGAGAGGTCGCGTGAGGGCGGCGACGTGCGAGGTTCGGACAACGTTCCATTCGAGATATTATATCTGCCTCCCCTCTTCGATTTACACCGGCGATGAACTAAAAATTTATCGTAGCACGGAGGGTTTTCGCGTAATTGCTCGTATATTTCTCGCGGGGGTCGAATAAATAAGACGCGCCTTACCCTCCGAAACGTAGAGAGCCTTCCACCCTTTTCTCTTCTCGCGCCGATAACTGGTTAATGGTGGGCGCGGTGTTCGCCCTGAACAACACGTGTGTGTATGTGTGTGTTATGCTATGTACCGTGTGACGCGGTGTAAGTGCTGTTGAAAATTTCAGAACTTAGTTCCTCGACTTATTGCCTCGACGTAATGAGTATTCTATCCATTGCGCGCCTATCGATACACGGCAGACCACGTGCGCATCCGAAGCAATTTTCTCGTGCTCATTAATGTCAGAAATGTCAGAGTCTCACGATTTTCAAGAAATCAAAATGAATTCCTTCTCTCTCTCTCTCTCTCTCTCTCTCTCTCTCTCTCTCTCTCTGGATAAAGCTGCGACCGGTGTTACACGAGCTTATTCGAGGCTATTTATTATTCCGCGGGAGATCTCACCCACATTCCGATACACGCGTCGCCGCTCCGGGGAAAAGCGCGGTTCTACGCTTTTCCCGCACGTCCCCCCATTATCCGATTCAGTTCGCCCACCGAGCTGCAATCTCAACGTTCTCGAGCGAGAGGATTCGAATAATCGGATCAGCAATGCGCGGCGAGCGGGTGACATCGGACGTGTTAGCCTCTTCGGCGGTGGGCTTTGGAGGCGCACGTCGCGCCGGATCGACGTATATCCGAAGGCGCTGAGTTGCTGGCTTATGGGATTTCCAGCGATACTCTAGTTACGGACAAATTTGCCGCGGATAATCCGCACGTTGCGCGACGCGACGCGTTGCGACGCTCCCCGGCAGCTCGCTGTCGTCGGTTTCACTTACGTTCTTTTGACCGTTCCTTACTGTCGCATCGCGAAACTTTACTTTTCTCTCGTGTGTAAAAATATTTTTTCTTGCTTCTCGCACAAAGAATATCTGTGAGAAATGTCCGAACGAAATGTCGAATCGTATCCGGAGAAGTTGCGGTCTAGGAGGAGACACGAAGTGACAAAGGAAAGGACTCTGCGAACTTCTTCGGCTGGAAAGAACAAGGAACGTCGATAATACAGATCGACTTAGGCTCGGGCGTGAACGATAATATTGCATTCCTCGGAATCCTGACGTTGAATGACAAGAAATGTAGAGTGAGTTGGGATGGCTTCCACCGCACCGCACAGACGACGACTTACCTACCCGTCGCGTGATTCTTTTCAACTTTATTTCGCGTGAACGGAAACGTTCCTGAGGCATTGATACTTCTTCCCGTGCTGGAGCCACGTCTCTTTGCAAGCGAACCCGACTCGAAACCGCGTCGGTTCACGCGAACGTTACACTCTTCGCAAAGTGTGCGTCCTCGCGGCGCGTAGAAGCATTAAACTCCGCGTACAATCATATTTTTTAGGACATGCGATACAATGTGGGTCTATAAGGTACGGGCAATCTTGAACTACCATATAACTTCGATGAAAATCAATATTTTTGGACACATTTCTTTTCAAGAGATATAAAAAAGAACTATGAGATGGTGCCGCAATAAAATGGAAATCTGCAAAGAGATTTGCGCTATTTTCAAATTTTCCGGACTCTTTGGTCCGGTGAAGTCTTAGCTTATAAAAAATCGTCATTGGCAAATTCGCGATCCTCTGTGAAAGAAAAAGAGGGAACAGCCCTTTCGCACGGGCTGTGAGAAAGGAACGCCGTATCGCACGACACGTGAATAAACATACACATGGTAGATAATAATCGGGAATAATAACGCGGTCGGTACATTAACGATTCCACGAAGTCATGCGAAATGACCGCGGAGCCGCAGAAGAGCGGGAGAAAATAAGCCAAAGAGAAGACAGAGTGCGAGTGATGAGGCAGCCGAACGAGCGTGCACCTGATATCCTGATCCGCGGAGAGCGCAATGGGGCTGCGGCTGGATTCCCGTGGGGAGAATCAACGTCGATAGCGACGGGCACGCAATTACTGGCCTCAGCCAGACTCGTGGAAAAGCCGGTATAATTAGTTAGCGCGCTCCAGATTCGATGTTTGAGCAGATAAGCTGACGCCCCAACCACCGTTGCCGCCGCCGCCACCACCGCCGCGACACAGCGGCGGCGACTCGCGATCCGAGAAGCTAGTTCACGGTCACGGCCAAGGTCACCAAGGTGTACTCGCGATGGTCATTAATCTTATCGCAATGTTTTCGGAATCGTGTCTCAATTTGTTCAGATATATCTTGCCAAGCTGCCTTTCTCTCTTTAAGTCATCTTCGCACCGTTCGTGCGTTCGTCAAATTCTCCGTTCCCGAGCGCTCGAATTTATCTGGTCTCATCTCTCGGTACGTAGGCAGGTCGCTTGGAAAAATCTCATGAGGAAACCATCTTTCAGCCGTCACGATCATTTCCTTTCTTCCCAAGCGCGCGCGCGCGCGGTGTGAAAATGAAAAAAATTAAGAGAGGAAGGAAGACGCGCTTCCTGCGCGGAGCGTCCACGTTCGTGCGACGGAGGTTACATGTCGAATCGCAAGCGACCGACAGACCAACCAACCAACCAACCGACCAACCGGCCGTAACATCCCGCAGAGCTGCGAGTGAGCGAGAGTCGCATAAAAGAGCGGCGGTTTCGGTATCGTGTCACGCATAGCAGATTAGCGGCGTGGACGTGGCGTGTTAGACCGCGTGCTCGCGTGCATCCGACACTCCACGCGAGATTCCAGCAGCGCGATCGAGTGTCAGTCGGTTGGCCTGGCCTGGCCTGAGCTGGTTCTCTCTCGTGAGAACGGATACGCGAGATCCGACGACTCTCGGTCGCGTTCGTCGCCGCCGCCGCCGCGCTTCTACGTATGCATCTGCGACCACGACATGACACGACACGATGCAACGCGCTGCTGTGGACTGGCCCCTCCGACGAAGCCTGGCGGAGGAGTTGGCGCCATTTGTCCGACCATGCCTTATCAGCCCGCGGCGCGACAGATAAGCCGCCACGACCGATGACAATGGTACTGCTCTCGGTTTTGCATCCGATCTCCTCACGTACTTGTGGATCTGTGTGCATTCTGTTTCGCGCCTCCGACCGTTATCGCAAAAACGAAGATTCCCGAATAAATTAAATGTAACGCGAACAAATAAAAATATGCATTACGTTTCAATGTGTCTTCTTTTATCTATTCTTTTTTCCCGAGTGATTTTACGCGAAATCGAAACAATGAAAAATAGAAAAATGTGACTGCAATCTGCA